ACATTTACTGTCTTCTTTGTACAATGTGAATGACAGATCTCTATAAGACCAAGTATTTTCCCAACAACTGATTTTGTGTAGGATTTATATTGTCCTAATGACACAAAGAGTTACAAAATGAGCAAACCTTCCTCTTTCAATACAACCTGGATTTGGTCAGTTAGAATAATTGGTATTCCTGAAAGCAACCCTTGATGATCACAGCTGCAAAATCTGTCACCCATGGAACTGTTAGCCCAGGCTGTGAACTGGAATAAAAGAGGCTTAATTAACCAGTTTGAAGAGAGAGACTATCAGATGAAATTAAGGACACCCTCATTTGTTGGCCTGTCAGAAATTTTGTCTGCATTTTCCAGTGGGTATCAATGGGAAACTCAAGGAATTGTTTCAGAATATGAGTGGAAGAAGGCCACACCACAAATATTTTTTATTACTTCCTTCCCACCTCATCACAGGCTTCAGAAGTTGAACCCATGGAATTGGGAATTAGGAGAGCTCTGCTCCCTACCCAAAAAAAGTTGTGGAGATGCACACAAGGCTTATGTTTTATAATGTGGAGAATGTGGCTGCTTCAAAATCGTGCCTTTTTAAAATTTCCCCTTCAAAAGCATTGACTTAGTGCTGTGTTTGAGGGAAGGGGAGCATTTTACAAGCAGATGCCCTAAACATTTCAGGTCTAGCCTGTTGGGAAACAAGCTTTTCTTAGTCTTCAAGGGTTCAGGGGCTAATGTGCTCAGAAATGTATGGAACCCCAACACATGAAGCTATGCATTGACATTTAGTAACTCTTGTTATCCTACAGATACAGATGGGCTCAGAAATAGAATTGCAGGCTGTAACAGATTCCCTTGCATGGCCAACTCCAAAACTGGCAAGTAGGCTTTGCCCACTTAGCATGTCCATCCCCTCTTTTGGTTGAAAGCATTGATGACTGGCTTTTACATTCAGGACCTAGCGCTCACTAAACCTCATCCTCAGCAAGCATCAGGAGAACTTGCAATTTTATTTAGCCTTCCCTTTACATTTTCTATTTGTCTTGAAAATAGACTGGCTTCAAACTTACAACCCTTATACTTATTGGGATCAGGATAACAGAAACTTGATTTTCTGGCATGCAAAACTAAGTCCTCACCACTTACAATCCCAAGATAGAAATGCCCTTTGGCTTTGGCTGCCAAATATGCAGACTTTGCTATTCCCTGTATCTTTGTGTCATTCCAGTCGATTCAAGAGCTTTGACTTCTGCAAAATACAAGTTGGTCTGCCTATATACTGCCTGCTCAAATGACAGTAGGCAGCTTAAAACAGGGCATTAAAAATACCCATAAACTAAAAAAAAAGCTCTTTAAAAATCTTTTAAAAAATCTGTGTTCTTCCATAAAACTCTCCCAAAATCCCATAGAAGAAAGTCTTCAGCTGCTTTCTAAAGGATAAAAGGCTGGTTGCCAGCCTAATCTTACAGAGCAAGCTGTTCCAAATTGAGGGTGCTGCCTATGGCATTGCCATTTTCCAAGTCCCTTGCCCTAACCCAGATCTCTTTAGGGCAGGGTTCCCAAGTGGTCAGTATCAACACCCAAGGGTCAATGGGACTATCTAAGGACAATGTTGTTAGTCTTCTTATTGGTAGTATTATTAGTTAAAGTGGTATGGGGGTCAATAAACAAACTTCATGAAGCGGTCTAGGAGCTGCAGAGTTTGGAGACCCCTGCTCTAGGTACAGGTTTCCAGATCATTCTCTCATCATGTCAGGTGGGCAGAATTTACCTGGAGAAGATGTAAAGTAGCAAAAGCCCAGGCTGCATAGAGCTTTATAGGTAATAACCAGCATATTGAATTGTTCCCAGGAACCCTAGTGGTAACCAGTGAAGCTCTCTCAAAATAGAATGTCTATTGAAAGCATGCATTTTATAAAATTAAATCTCAAGGAAGATTACAGTCTGATCTGCATGACAGAGGAGTACAAATACTTAACTCCCTTATTTGATATTTGTTATGGAAAGTTTAAATACACATATTTGGAGAAAAGTTAATTTTTGCTTTTTTCAAAAGTGGGAAAAAAGAGGATCCAGGTAACTATAGAGTAGTCAGCCTCAAACTGATGTTGGGCAAAACCCTGGAACAGATTATTAAGGCAGTTTGTGGGCATTTGGAAAACCATGTATTGTGTGGCAGAAGTTGGCCTGAATTTATTAAGAATAAGTCTTGCCAATCTAATCTGATCTCTCTTTGGTAGAGTGACCAATTAGTTGACTGCAGGAATGTGGTTGCCAGCGTGAACCTTAACCAAGCATTCAACTAAGATTCTCAAGAGATTCTAGTAGAGAAATTGATAAAATATGAACTGGTGCCTGCTAACCATTAGTTGAATATAGAGCTGGTTGGAAAATCATACCCAACCAACTGCTCATCATTGGCTCCACAAGAAACTAGAGAGAAGTGTCAAATGGCATACTGTAGGTTGCAGTCTAGGCCCTGTGCTGTTCAATGTATTTATAAACGTCTAGTCTCACCCATTGAAACATTGGGGGGGAGGGGGTTTGAAGGAAATTCCTTCCGTGCCTGATTGAGTCTGTACTCATCTGGAACAGGACCTGTATGTGTTGGCTTTGATAGATTGCCTTCAAGGAGCTTCTTGTTTTCTCCATATCTTTTCTTGGAAATGGGAAGAACTGTGCCAGAATTGCTCCTTCCTTGAGGGAAAAGGTTTTGCAGCTTTGCCACGACAGCTGGCCAATAGGATATTTTGAGTATTTGAAATGTCCTTTCTCCTTCTCCATGACTTTTGGTGATCTTGTGTTAGAGCAGGTATCAAGGTTCATGTTTCTTCTTGCCAAACCTGTTACCATGGCAAGCCTCTCATCATCAAGCTGGCTGGAAAGTTGGTTCCTTTCATCCCTTAACTTGTTCTCTCTTTGCTCCTGAGATAGCTTATCTGATTATTCAACAAGTTTTCTGAAACTACAGCTTTCATCATAATCTCATTTATGACAAGTTCTCTATGGTATGTTTTTGGAATTTTTGTTTCATCTCTTGGATGAACAACCTATGCTCTGCTCATTGACAAAAGTTGCATGGTGAAACAGAGGAGGCTAATGCCAGTTTAGAGCAATATCTTCATTGGTAGGTGAGCTACCAACCGGACAATTGGCCTTATCCTGTACTTGACACTGAGTTTGCTTATAAGAACTTAATTCATATTTCTATGCAGATGTTGCTATTTCAAGCTACCTGTGATAACTACCACTTGTTGTCCTGGCTCTCTATTCAATCCCAGAAGCCTCCCATTTTCTCCAGGAATGGGAAGCCACGCAGCACATCTTCAGGAGTCAATTGAATCATGTCAGGGGTTCCTACAAGGGTTCTGCTGACTGTCATTGTTAGGGAGTTTCCCTCACTGCTATTAGAAAAGGACTATCCAGATATGGGAACATCATGGGAAGCAGCAGAAGATATCTCTGCGTCTTATCTCATTTGACAGTATTATTCACAGTACCCTAATGGCCAAATTACCTAACTGGCCACAGGTTCTGGCTTCAGTGCCTCCCAGGAATTCTGTTTCTTGAGAAGAAAGGGAATTGGACTGGGGTTAGGGAAAAAGCTGGTCTGGAATGGCGGAAGTAACTGGCAAATAAGTTAAAGAGACAAATCTCCACCCTACCTCTACCCCTTCCTAGTGTCTGGAGGAAGGAAGATACAATAGAAGACCTCAGAATAAATGAAACTTTCCTAATTTATGCCAGAGAATTAACCCCCCCTCCCAGGAGATGAAAATGTAGAAATGGAATAATACAATGCCTTTCAGTCCCATCTGACCAGAGGGTGGGAGTAGGAGATCCATCTGGAGCCTCTAGGTCCAGTGGGGAAGAGGAAGGCAAAAACAGAGAAGGAAGTGAAACAAAAGTATTATGTGGACAAAGTAAATGCATTCCAATGTCAAGCCCAGGAAAGAATAATCAAGAATTCATTGACCAGAAAAAGTAGGATGAGTTAAATTCTGGGGTCTTTATATGATTTTATGTTCTATATCAGGCAGATATTCCATACATATATAACAACTATCTTGGCAGCAATAAAACTTTTATCTATCAGTTTTGAGCCCAGTCATCTTCATCTTCTAGTTCCTGTATATCAAAGGCTAACTGTAACTCATGCACTGACTATTAAACCATGGTTTTATCATTGTCTTAAAAGAAAGCACAATTCACCCAAAGAATCTTTTAAAAAGTAATCAAGACTTAACAACAGAAAAAACTACTGTGTTTAGAAAAAAGTTATGTTGAAGAGAGAATTTCTCTTCAGACAGAAATTAAGTGTTTTTTCTCTGCAGTTCTTCCATGTTTGGAAAACAAGATTTTGAGTAAAGTGAACTGTGTGTAAAGTTCAGTTGTGGTATGTGTTTGCATGGCTTTTTGTTGCTGTTGTTGCTTTTGGTATTGTTACGTAAATCAGACTGTTTTTCTGTATTTACTATGTAAAACATCGCAAACAGCACATGAATGTTAATGTTAATATTAATACTATCAAACTTAGATTTAATACTATCAAAGTTAGATGAAGGAAACTTTTAGTAGTTCAGGAGTGGGCAATCTTTGAGCTTAAAAAATATTGTGTTGGCCTCCAAGAACCACAGACAGTATGCCTAGTGATGTCCCTGATAGGCATGAATGATGAAAAACTGGATCTTTTGGTGAGGATTTTAAGAATTGGAGATCTTTAAAGATAGAACTGTATCTGGTTTTCCTTAGGCATAAGTACCAATTTCCACTTTTACCTTGAAAATTTTGCTGCTGAAAATTGGCTATATTGTTTGGGAGTGGATTGGCAACTGGGATCTGAGGGCTGCAGATTGCCCACCCCTGCATTAGATTATTAGAGCAACTGATTTAATCTCCTGTAGTACTCTGAGTAATATAACCCATTGTATAAGAACTTATTTAGAATTTATTTAGTATCTCTATAGTACCAATCTTTTTTTAAAAAAATTTCTCCACACTCGCCAGGAGCTTGATCAAAGTCTACCAGGGAGACAGCTTGAAGATCAAAAAAGGGTATGTATATTCAGCACTGGCTTAAAGATGAATATGTTGGATGCTAATTGCAACAGGGCTTCCTTAGTTTTTATATTTTTCATTTGAACTAAGGAAAAGACATGACTGAAGAATGAGGGTTTTTTTCAAAAATGTTATGAAAACAAAAAGGGCTTTAAACCGTTTTTAAGGCTTGGGTTGGGCATTTAGAAGTTGTTATAGAGGTTGTTAAACAATATTCTCTCTTCTTGTCTTTAATATTTTACCATTCTGAAGTCTTACCAGCAAGATTTATTGATTTGTGATTTGCTTCATATGATGTTGAAAAACAGAATAGTCAGCTCTATTCCTAAAATCTGTGGGTTGATGAAGTATTGAAACCCTATGGTGATGCATTGTTCCTTTGATTATATAATGCGTTTACCACCATAGATTTCAGGGATTGAATTAAAAGAGAAACGGTAGAGGCAAAAGTCCACTTAACTCTGATTGTCTGCAGCCTTAGAAAACGATGTTACCTCTGCCTTGTCCTATAAATTGAGCATGACATAATGCCTATTGTACAGAGAATTAGAAACAGAAATATCTTTACAAACCGAATAGCCCTAATCCTACTGAAGGTTTATTGTAGCAGTATAAACTGGATAATTCTGTTACACATAACACTAATTTCTAAAAGGAGGAAACATGGAAGGATTTATCCTTTTGGAATAGTAATAGCTTTCTTTTGCAAATATTGCATTTCACAGTATAATTATTCTTTATTGGGAATAACAAAGACAGCCAGATCTAATTATTATGAGTGCTTCTTTTCTCTGCGACGATGAGAATTAAGAGTTATCTTCAATTTATATCTCAAATATATGTGGTGATATCATTGTTGCTACTGGTAACAAATACCGTAGAAATAAAATTCAGCTGTAGCTTTCTTTGAGTCGGAAAGAAAGCATAATTGAAGTGCAATTAATTTGCCTGATTTTGTTGTGTCTTTTGCCTTCAAGTTACGCAACTAAACAATTGATGTCAACTAGATAGACAGACAGACAGATCAAGATATTTTATTTTGTTCTATGTAATCCATCCTGCATACAACTATTGTTATTTGAATTCAGCTTTTATCAGGCCTGTATTATCATTGTTTAGCTCAGACTATGGTCATATAGTCATGTTCTGTTTCATTAATACTGTTTGCAGCAAACATTAGTCTTCCCTAATTTGGGGTATATATACTAGGAATTATAGGAGTTAAAGTTCAGTACATCTGAAGGCATAATGTTGAGAAGGTTGCTATACTAACACATGTTTAAATGTCGCTAGAACATAGTTCATGAAAAACTATTACTAGAGCATTGTCCATTGGTCACTATTGGGAGCAGAAACACAGCTCAAGTAACTGAGCTGAAATTCGAATTGATAAAGCTGATTCAAATACTTTTTCATTTTTTTAAGGGCATTTTCTCACCATATGAAGTCCATGCAAATCAAATTCAGTCTGTGTGATACTCCCTTCTCATTGGAGCCAGTAGATTGTGTGAATTAGATCTCTTACTGGAGCCAAAATATGCATATTGCCTTATAAGTACTTGAGGAAATGCATCCTGTAATCCTTGGCATGGTTATGTCTATTCACACTAAAGCCAGTACAGAGTCTGAGACATCTATTTTCTGTTCCTAAAAAACAGGATATATATAAAAGTTACAAAGATGAGTTTTTTTATTTGTAGAAAATTTCTATTAAAATTCTTTTCCCTGCTCTCTTAAGAAACTATGTACATAGGCCATTTTTTTAGCCAGTGTGTAACTTAATATCTTAAATATTCAAAGTACATGGAAATAATTAATTATTCCATGTGAATATAAACATGTATAGTCAATTACCAGTTATTTCCAGGCTGCTTACTGCTATTGTTATTTATTTTATTACTGACAGTATTTATTTTTCCACTTATTAAAGATACTGAAGATCTTGGGAGATAGTGAGAGTGTATTACATTTTAGAAATAAATATAAATACCAGGAATTTATATCACTTTTGTAAAAATTTTCTGAAAGTATAATGCAAGAATTTTTCCTATCTGAATGCTTCTTTCTTTTTCAGTTCTAAAGGGTGCTCCTCACTATAAAGATTATTCTAAAGGTGACGATTAATCATGCTAAAACCCAACAGTCTAGAAGTAGAGTACAGGTAGTCCTCGACTTACGACCACAGTTGGGACCAGAATTTCTGTTGCTCAGCAATGCAATTGTAAAGTGAGACGTCACATGACCACATCACTTAGCAACAGCAATCCTGGCAATCCCACTTGCCATTGTTAACCCGAGGACCCACCCCAATCCAAGCCATTCTGGGTTTGGTCCCTCCCAGCCCCGAGCCACAGTGAGGTAAGAAACCGCCTCCAACTCCCCCCCCCCACCTATTTCTCCCACACAATTTCTGCCTTTTGGCCATCCTGCATCCTGCCTTGTGGAATTCCAAGCGGCCCCAGAACCATACAGCTGAGGGGCTGCTTGCCACACCCTGGGAAGCCGCAGCCACCCCAGCAAGCTGCAGTGCCCGAGAAGACCCAGCAAGCATTTGTTCGCCCAGCTGCCTTCTCTCCCAGTTCCCTGCACTCACTTTTCGCCTTTTGCGCCCAGCCGCCACAACCAAAGCACCTCGCTGCCTTTGCTGTCTCCTTTACAGACCCAGCTTCTCCGACGAATGTTTCCTACACATAGTTCCCTGAGCCTTCAGAAAGCTGGGCTGTCTTCGGAAAGCCTTTGGAAAGACAGCACAGCTTTCCGAAGGCTGCACTGTCTTTGGAAAGCTGTGCTGTCT